TTCTTCGCTTCTTCTTTTGAAGCATATCTCCCCGTCATGCACACAGCTTCTGTTGGAGTATAAATCATGGTTTCAACAAAGTCTGGAACCTTTTCGGGGTTGTCCTGATCTCCATCTCTCGGGGCAAAAGAATCGCTGTATGCCTGTGCAATCTCTTTCAGATTTCCTACCACGGGTTTGTATGTCAGCCTCATGTATTCCTTGATAGGTATGAGCTTGATCTCAGCAGATACAAGAAGCCCCAATGTTCCCTGAGACCATGGAATAGCATAGAAAAGATCAGAGTACTCATTATCCCTGGTGGCTCTGACAACTCGGCCATCTGCAAGAACAATCTCATAGGCCACAACAGTATCAGAGAACAGTCCATAGATGTGAGAGCTTCCTTCAATTCCATAGCCATTAATGAGACCACCAACAGTAAGATCATCAAACTCAGCAACCACAGCAAGGGCAAGATTCAATGGAACCGTTACCCTGGTTATCTGCCCCATGTTGACTAAGGGCTCAACTTTCGCAATCATTCTCTCTTTATCAATTTCAAGGACATTTCTGAATGCAGACAAATCAACCTCAAAGTGACGAGCCCTCTTGTAGTCAACATTCCTCATTCCAACAGCTATCCACGGTTTTCGTGCTGTGCAAACAAGCCCATCCGTTGATGGGTTCCTGTCTTTGAGTCGTTTTACAACCTTCTGAACGTTTTCATCATGTTCCTTTTGACGCCTCTTGTAGGATTTCATCTCAGATCTTACATCCCCGAGGTACGTGAGAAAGTACAAAGTGAAGGAGATGGGGAGAACAACAAAGATAACAACAATCCATCGGAATTGAACAAGAAAGTCCACCAAGGCCGTCTTCCTCTTTGGACGCAGTGGGGTTCCAAGATCCGACATCTTGAAAGCAGATCCTTATTCTGTTGTACGAAAAATATAATTGCTAGTTAGCACAACGGGGATAAGATAGTATATACTTTTTATACCATATTACATGGGATTAGGCATTGTTTATGCATTGCACTATCTGTTACATTATAAACAGATTACCCTCACGCCTGATTGCAGCAAACCCAAAATTCTAGTAACGTGACATGGTGACGTCAATGAAAGCCACAATACCATATAAACCAACAGATGAAGGAGAAAGAGAAGTGAGTCGTGACAAATCAACCATAACCAATACATGGATACAACAAAGATCTTTTCCATCTTCTACCAAACAGGAATACAATTAAGCGAGGATTAGTACCAAAATTGGATTGATCCGCAAGTAATATGCGTTACAAATTTATAATTCTCAATTTTTTCAGAATCTTACCAGGCATGCAAACTTTCCTTTTACAGATTACTATAGCTATAGTTGGAAAATCGAGTGTGACAAGTAAACAACTGATAAGGACATGCAATTAGAGTTCCAGAACAGATTTTGTTTCGACATAAAAGTTGGCACAATTTGCATAAGATGAGTTGTCAGATTTAGAAGTTACTAGAGTTGGAAAACACGAAAAGCATTTTACTTCAACAAAAGGTTAGAAGTACTTGCGTATAAAACTTTCCTATTAATTAACACGCAAACAAGAATACAGTCCAACAAAGCTGAAAAAAAAAAAGAAGCTCTTCTTTCGTATCATCTGAAGGCTTTTCTTTTTCTAAATGACTGTTAAAAGTTTACAACCTCAATGATTATTAGTTGCTGTAAACATACATCGAAAAATAAAAAACACAACTTTAGATACAATGTGCACCAGATCAAACAAATAGCATCGGTGTAACCACGCATTCAAGTGCAGTTTATGTTTATCACATGCTTGACAAGAAAATTGATTTGCCAAAACTAAATCTTAAATAATAATTAGAGATAGTGAAATCAGTTTCAAAACAAAAATGAGAACACTATCCGATTTCTACGAGATCCATTAGTTAATGCAAGACCTTACACCTATAAGTGAAGAGGAATGTCATTATACCGTCCCCTGAAAGACCTTTAATTTGAATATCAAGATCTACTTCTCTTTACAAATAATTTTTTTATTACAAGCGATATTACTACTCTAACTAACTAGAGTAGGGGACGAGGAGGTGAGGTTTTAAACCCGAGACGCTATGACCTCAGTACACTCAACAAACTCCAATGGAGACTACAGAAAGACTCAAACCACATTGTCAAAGCTCCATTTTCTCTCGTTTTCTCAGGAAACAAACAGATCTCAGCACAAAAACACACCCCACAGTCAACCCCCAAACATAAAAAGAAACCAACTTTAAACAACAAGTCGCAAAATTTCAAACTGTAACGAAGCGGCTAAAATCTAGCAGTAATCAAAACACGAGTGAGAGAGGGAGAGAGAGAGTACCTGAAGGTGCTGAACTACTTGCAATGTCGGAACCGTAGAGGAACCCATTTTAAGGCCAAAGTCCTGAAGCACCAGAGCGAGTGACAGAGTGACAGAGCGACACTGTGTGTGTGGGGCCCAATGCATTTATTTATATTTAAAATTATTTGCTGAAACACTCAAAGTTGAGTAACACTATTCATACTATGTTTTTATATCATATTTTCACACTATCTTAGTATCATTTGATATAGACAATCACATCATTTGAATTAATCAAAATTTTAAATTTAGTTTATTATTTAATAAATTAATAATTAAGAAAAACTAATTAATTAAATGATAATTATGGTATATGATGAGTCTTTCTCTTTCATTTCCTTGAATTCAACAAATTTTTCAAATAATGTACCTGTCCACATCAATTACCATCTAAAATTGTATGAAAATATGATATAAAAACATGATATGAATAGTATTACGTATAAAAGTTTATAAAATTGAGAGGACAAAACATTGAAGAGCCCGAGACATATCCAGTCAAGCCCCATGTTCCCCGAGGCATTGAACAACTTAGTTAAATGAGATTTTTTTTATTATTTATAAAATAAATTTTGCTTCAATAAACTGGTTAAATGACTAATTTTTTTAATTTGTAGACAGTAATACTAATAGCTCAACTTGGATAGAAGGAGAGAAAGTTAATTTTTAGCTAAACACTAAAAACTATAAAACGATACTGCGCGCTTCAACAGAAGAAAAAATATATATATAGTTGTAAAGTTGTGATATTAAAATATTTTAACTTAAAATAACTAATATTATTAAAAAAAATACATTGATTCTAAAAAAACATTTGCATTTTTATTAATAATTAATTCTACAAATATTTCTACAAAAACTGGTTTCAATTATTTTAAAAGATAATGCTAAGGATCCCTAAACTACATGATATGAAAGTTGATAATTGTATTTACTTAAATATTGATTACACTCAGTACTACGGTCTGGTGGTATTTCTCTTCACTTAGAAGTGAAAGGTCTTATATTCGAATCTTATAGATGTCGAATTCTATACTAAATTAGATTATCCGTTGTGTGGTTTCACGAAATTTCCCCTTTTCTTAATATAAAAATATTAACATACTCAAAAAAAAATATATATATATATATATATGTATATATGGCTGTCACGTTTTGGACTCGAGCCCACCAACCATGTGCCATTGCCGTGCCACGCCCCTCTTTCTTTAAATATTATTTTTTTCTTTTCAAATTTTCAAACGAATTTCACACTTCCACTTCTAACCGCATGATAAAATGAATGAACATAAAACATGTAGTTCACATTTTAAATACCTGACAAATGCTATTACTCGTGTGACCCAACATTTTACAAATTTTATTATGCACTTAAAATTTATAAAATACAATAAAAATGATGGACAGATTGTACGAATGAGGATCCTCTTTGAATTCCTTTTATGAAGATCTTAGGGATCTTCATATTATAATCGTTTATTATATATTGTATGATTAATTTTTGTTAGATATTATTTATGTTTAATTTTAAATAAAAAAATTCAAAATAATTTTTTACTACATGATATGCGATAAACGACTAGGATATAAAGATTTTTAAGATCTCTACCATTTGTAAATGTAATTTTTCGTTAAAATAAACAATATCATAATCTTTTCTTTAAAATTCTCTTAAAAGAATTTTTTTTGAGATTTAAAAATAACGAGCACTTTCTATAGGGAAACATAACGATCGATCATGATCCTTTGGCCTTGTACAAAAGGTACGTTAAAATGTAGACGATATCTTTTTCTTTTTATATGCAATGTTTGGATCGTGCTCCTATTTATTAATCGTTTTACACCTTTGGATCAAATGATGCACACACGTTAGAGGCATATTCCCTTTTACATGCGTCGAATATTTTTTTGTAATATATTCGGAAAATTCTTCATTATTAGGTAGCAATGAATAAATAATACGAATTAATGAGATTGAAAATAAAATATCTAAACAACTAAAACACTTATACCGTTAAAGCTACACCCAATACTTTTGCAAGCAAAACTTATCGAGTAATGATAAGAGATCATATCAAATTATAATACATTTATGACAGAACTAGAAGCACCAATACAAATAAGGGCATGTTTGAAACTGCTTTTAGAAAAAATGTTTTTAAATTATAAAAACACTTAAAATGTTTCCTGCATGAAGCATTAAAGTGTTTTTTTTTTCTTCAGAATTTACTTACATTTTTACTAAAAATTGGTTCCAAAAAACATTTTCATCAAAAACACTTTCAGCTATTTTAAAAACACTTAGTTGGAAGTTCCACCTTTCTTGAAAATGTGCTACAATTTGATACACTAAAAAACGATTTTTCATAGTATTTTCCAAATTTATTAGATCATCTGCCTCTTAAACATCTTTCATACAGTACAGAATTTTTCATTTCAAAATACACATCCTGCATTATAAAAGCTATTAAAGCAATGAGAAATAACGTTGCACACTCTTTTTCGCCTCTTGCACACTTAAAATGCGCAAAAATCGCTCCTCTAATGCCATTTCGAATAACGAAGAAGGCCCATGTAAATAATTATTTCAACACTGAGATGTACCCAGAAACTAAAATACAAAGTATAAGCCTGAAATGTGAATCCATTTCCATTATTTCATCTTTGAGCTTTCGGCCCTTATACATTTCTAGCATCAATGAGTAAATCATTAGTTGTTTTCAGTTCCCAATTCTAAATTACAGAACCTTTAAAGGCTACCTGGTTCTGAAGAGAAAGAAGAAATGCTATATGAACAGTTAGTAAGGAGAAGATAACTGGTAAATATAACACTAGCTATGGACGCCTACTGCAAAGAAAAACCAAAAATGCCGCCGATAGAATTTCCTCTGCAATGATCACAAATATACAACGTGTAGAGTGGACGTTGGAAATGAATTCAGTCTGTGAGTCCGTCCACCTTTCATTTACCAGTGTTATCCACCCTGCCATGGACAAGGGTAATTCTTTAAGAAATCCAAACTCAAGGGATGGGATACGCCGGAACAGTAAGCTGGATACTGAGCTATAATCTATCTGAGACGTAATATGGAACCAATGAAGAAGGATTTCCTGTATTACTTTGATTAAAGCTAGTTTTGAGATCTAGTTCCCAAGCTCCCTTACTCCTCAAGGATTGAAAATGTTTGAGCCACCAATGTTGACTGCAATTAGCACTGACATGCCAGCAACTAAGAAAGCCAAAGTAAGGTGGTTTCCACGGATACTCCTGCAATTCAGAAGTTTGTTATTAATCTTTTTGGTGGATGAGGAGATAACACTAGTCAAAATCGACAGTAAATTGCTAACTTACATAATGATGTAAGAGGTAACATAAAGATTAAATACCTTCAGAGCCTTCCGAATTATTATTGGAATTTGAAGGCACAGATTCAGTATCAAGTCCACGCCGCAATTTTGAAATTTTTGACCCTGCAATTGAGATATCATCCCCAAGTTTGCGTTTCCTGTTTCGGATGCCACTATCCCTTGAAATTCTTCACTCACAATTAAAGCTGCTAGAACATCCATGAAGGACTCTTTGTCTGCCTCATTTCCAGGCTCAAGTTTATCCTTCACAGAATCAGACAACTCATCATCTGAATCTGAAGCGTCAGTATCCATAGAAGCCACCTGAGTTTTGTCATCCTCTTCATCCTCAACATATGCCTTATATGTCAATCGAAGTAGTATTTCACCAGCAGACTTATTTTTAAACAGGCCCCAACCTCCTTGCAGTACCACAATCCTGTCCGTTGGTACAGTGTCTTGGAGAGATCCCAGATCAACCTAGAAACGACCAAAGTATTAATGGAAAACTATTTACTTTTGAAAATCCGGAAGAACTCAAAGAAGTATTGATGGGCCAATTTGCCCTTGAAGGCAGTGAATTCAACCATTAGCTGCTATATCATGCGCAATTAGGTGGTAATAAACTTTTGGGATATTTTTGTCAAATCCATCTTCATCATTTTTTATCCCTTATCTAATTTTAAATTTTTATGGAGAGGGGAAAAAGGAGCATTTTTGCGTTCCTTAGAACTGTAGATGAGAAGAATAAAAGAATGTAGCCATATCTCATTCTTAATATAACCGCTACCTCAAAATTGCTTTATGTTTTTAAACAAGTATTGGTTCTGAAAACACAAACAACATTACATGCATGCATCCCAAACATGTATGCTACGGCCATGCCAATCATGAAAACAAGTTCAGTATTTGAAAGGATTAGATCTTTTACCTCTCCTGTACCAATAGTTAAGTCTGTGAATCCAAGAGAATCCTTGACTTCGATGTATAATTTTTGTTTTTTAGGGTTCGCCACAAGTACATCAAAATCCTGCCAGCACATACAAACACATGATTACAAATTACGTATACGAATTTTTACAGTATAGTAGATGAAGCATCACTAGAAGAAGGTTCACCTGATTCCAGATCGGCTCACCAGGAGGTCCAATAACAGTAGTTTGACTGTTTTTTTTACTGCGTATAATTTGGTCTCCCAGGCTTAGTGTAACATAGGGATCTGTTTTGCCTGAAAAATTAGATCAACAGGTTATTGAACCTCTAAAAAAAAGAGAAGTGAAAATTATGATATTCATTTTATCGCAAGTCAATGGCAGCTTAAAAAATATGTGCATCACTATAGTAACTAAAATAAGGAATCAAATCAAATGAAGTCATTTCGCATTAGAAGACATTCATTACCATAGAAAACATAGGAAAGCTTCCGAGCATCTACAAGGGTCACTGATAATTCTCCAACAAAATCCTTGTTTCCTTCTTGTATGTCCCCTGACTTGAAATCAATTCCGACAGGGCCAACTGCTTTTCCTTTCTGGAAATCCAAGACAATCTTTTTTGGGCGTACAAATAATCTAGGTAAATCCTCGGTGAGAAGTTTGGTCAAAAACCTAAAAAATGCATTTAGGGATTCAAGTCAAAAGGTGAAACAAACAAACAAGCATACAATTCCAGAGTGTACACCTTGACCATTAACTTTTGCATAGACAAAATATAACAGCTGAAAATGATGAGATTCACTTACATTGAGAGAACAGGAATTGCTGAATTTGCCCGATCCATGCAAAGATGAAGAGAGAAGAAGATAATTATCAGTATCTTCGACATAAAACGATTTAGCCTTAACAAATGCAATTAACATTAGATAAAACAATCTATCTTATCTGCCAAACATAGTGCTATAGGTACCTTAGTAAATAAAAACATGGTTATGAATATATGCCATACCCATCAAATTGAACAGGCGGAATGGCGACAACTCAAATTTGATCTTGGGAAGTGAAACAAAAGCCCATTGAACGGCTCCCACCCAAGGCGATGTAGGTATTAGCCGTAACTTGACCCAAAGTTCCCCATCAATATCAAAATCTCGAACACCAACTGGCACGTAAATGGGAATAATGCTAAATTTTAGTGAGAGCATTAACAGCATACGAGCACCACCTGTATAACGTAGACCTATTTGGTACCTAATGAAATAAAGGGATATAGAATCAGTGTAATGGAATATCGAGTTAGCGCGGAAAACATAGGCTCGCAGATCACCAAGTATTTTGACAAAAAACCATGCAAATCAGTTTCATAAGGATGCAGCCTAACGAAAAAATGGTACGGACTGTCAGGTCAATTATCTCAACGTTTGCTTTGATCGAACTCATCCACTAAAACTTATTGTTTATATCATTTCGTAGCATCCAATGCCAACTTACAAAGCAGGATATTCATATTCTATTGAGTTCGTCATTCGATTTCCACGTAAACAATCAGTCTATCATGAACATTGAAATAGAGAAAATAAGCAATCCAATCAAACAAAACACAAGCATAGTTGAATTGAAAACTTCAACTCACTGCAGATCATTAACGCGGCGGGACGTCCTCCGCTCGACATTCCTAACAGACAACGGCTCGTCCCCCAAAGAAAACTGCTTGATTTCAACTCTCTCAACATAGTCAGGCTTCTTCAAATCATCAATGACCGGCTGTAGCAACCCAATGAGCCAATTCTCAAGGCCGGCTCGATAAACCTTCCACAGCTTCCCCAACACCATGTTCACCCACTCCACCGACTCCTTCCTCTGCAAATCCTTCTCCAGAAACAGCGAAAAGCTCGTGGGCACTTGCGGCCATGCCTCGCGGCGGCCATTGTCACTCCCCAGCTTGCTCTTCTTGCTTGAAGTCCACAATTTATCAAACGCAACGCCCACAAAGAAGAAGAACACAAACAACCCAGCAATGTTTCGGTTTATTCGAGGCGATGGAAGGGGATGTATCACTCCCAGCTGAGTTCTGAGCTTATCCACAAAAGGGTCCTCCTGAAAGCTGGTGAAATTGTTCCCCATTTGAACCGGCGACTCTTCGGAAAATTCATCGGCTTCCAATTCACTGGAGAAACGCTTTATCACCAAGTTTTTTGCACCCCGTCTCGCTGAATTCGTTAGCTCTATGTTCATGGAGGACCCCGGAGCATCGGGCGAAACCGCACAGCAACTAAAACCCCATTTTCTTCTCACGCTTTTTCGAGGAAAATTGGCGATAAGCAGCTTCTTTCTTCTTCTTTTAGACCAAGGGAGGGAGAAGAAGTGGGTTTTACTTAGGTGGGCGAAATTTCCACATGGGCAGTGAGGAGGACGAGGCGGTGGCTGAGAGAAATCGAAGCTAGCAGATACTGCTTGCAAAATCATTAATTAGCGGCGGAGATAAACTCAGAGCACCTGACCGAGATGTGGATGTAGGGAGTTGCATTGGTAAACATGGATTCCAGCTCCAGAAATTCAATCCAAATTCCCAACGGAGCAATTAGCAAAGAAAAATCAAAATAAAAAGAAAATGGCGAAACGAAAGTTGTTTAGCAGCAACAACGCCGTCGTGAGAGCTTGGTAATCTGAAGTGACATGGGAAGAAGCAGAAACCTCCATGAAAGCTCAGAGACTACACATATTAATTGCTTTTGTATCTTTGTTTCGTCGAGATAATATTTGCGTGTTAAAGTTGAGGCAGGGAAGGGAGGGGAAGGGAAGAGGGAACAAAACTGAAAACTCGTTTGCGATGCTGGAAATCAGCATCGACATTTCAAGGCCTCAAAATGTGTAAGACGTGGATAATATGGCATTCCCACTCCTTTTCCTTTTCCTAATTTCCTCCCTCCTTCTCTTCTCCTTTTTATTTTATTTTATCATTTTCGTGAAAAAAGATGCACGTGGTACGGAAGCGAACGCGGTTCCCTCGCTTTTTTTTTCTATTCCTTTTCGGTGCCATTCATTTTTTATATTTTTTTTAGTAATCGTGGCAGTTTTTTTCTTTGTTGGCAGTCCATTTTTTGAAATTTGATTCAACATAAAAATGTCGGATTCAACATAAAATGCCGGTCCACTTCCATTCGTGCCTCACCTAGTCACCTTCCAACTACATCCTTTTTATTTGGGTCATACAACTATTTTCGCTTTTGGAAATTTATCTGACATTAAATAAAATAAAAATTTATTCATCCAACTAATCAAAATCATGGGGTTGGCTACAAGCCTACAATACTTATATGAATCTACAAGCCTTCATGAATATATATGTTAAATATAATTATTATCTAATCGTTAAAATTGTGATTGTATTCAATACATGTAAATATTAGAGTCAAAATGCTTCTACAAATTCGGATAAACAAAGATAAATAAGACCACATGAAGTTTGGCACAATTGTGGGCAAGAGGCTTGAATCCTTTATGGTGGTCAAGAGGGAGAGCAAGGAACGGCCAGAGGGTGGTTGTGGTGAGTGAGAGAGTGAGAAGGAGGCACGACAATTAGACAGTGCTGAGGAGGAATCAGGAATGAGTGTGCATTCAGGCCTTAAGGTTAGAAAGAGGACAAATATGAAATCACGTCATTTGGTGTCAAATTTAGTTTGGTTCGATTCAATGTCTAAACTATTGAAATCGAAATTAAACCAACCATTTTTGGTTTGGTTCGGACTTTTGGTGAATGGTTCGGTGAAGGGGTTAGTTTTTTTCTGTTTTGTATTTTTGAGCCCACTCCTAATCAAATATTGTCCACATTGTGATCACGTATTAATGACGTAACAATTTTATAAGTACGTGTGATCAACAAAAAATTACGACCTAATGAGTATTAAACACATAAACAAAAGAAGCTTAGCATACAAATCTACTAGGTCCACGTGATGAATACGTTTCATCCAACACATTCGCCACTTAACTCAACATAGTTATTGGTCGTAAATGGTTGAGAAAATCTCTTATCCGTCCTCATACCTTAACAATATATGATAGAGGAATAAGTTCATCATGATGGATAAGAAATGATCATGAATGATTAATAACAAGATAACCAATCTCAATAACCGTGCCCCAATTATAGGACACAATATTCAATGTGGTTAAAATACCTCTTTAAACGTAATCCTTAAATGAGCTATTTATCACGCATCCGAAAAGTCGATTGGTTAAATGACTTGATTGCCTATATAACATGACTTAAATCAATCAAGCACATGACGTAGTGAGCACCTTAGTGAATCATCTTCAATTGAACACTTGCCCTTATACAAGATCTCAAACTATTGAACTTGATTGTTGGATCCATATTCATCCATTAAACCTTTTTTAGTCATCGGAAAGTCATTGGCTTACACCACACTATAGTGTTAAGGTTTAGCGTGTCTTCTTCGCTTTCTTAGTTGCAATAACATTTTGGTAATTGAATGTTTGTATGAAATTTATTCCTTATACTATTGAAAATTTGATCATTTCGACATTTGAGATTTAAAAAAAATTTATTTTTACCTATTTTTCTTTCACTTTTATTTTATTTACCAATAGAAAGAAGAAAATTTGGCTCTCAAAATATAAAAAGAAAAAGAAAAAGAAAAAGGAAAATCATGTTGCAAATGGGCTGGTGGACTTGAGCCTCAATCTCAATCTGGGCCTTCATATTTTAGAAGACTATTGGGTGTGGACTTAACATTGAGTTAGGAACATGAGTTCTGGTTGTTTCGGGCCGGGTGTAATACGGGCTATCGGATTGATTTGATTCATGGCTTCAAAGTTCCGACCGAGTCGGGTTGACTTGGGTCCGTATACTTGGCAAAGCCCTAATTCCACCCCACGTTTACCTATGCTTGTTTTTGTTTTTGTTTTTATAATGTTTTTTAAAAGTTTTTGGTTTGAAGCTGAATTCACCTCCGCCTCCGTACTCTCACCACTTGCCACCCGCACGCTCCTTCTCACTTCTCCCCCTGTGGGCTTAAAAGTTAAAACGACGGCAAAGATGTACTGAAATGCCACCTCTCACCGTCAGCTGTGGCCGGGAGACCAAACAAACCTCCGCCGTTCTCTTCTCTCTGATAATCTCTATCTTCTGACGCATCGCTTCTGCCTTCGCAATCCGGTTAGTTGCACAATTATTGCTCTCCGTTTGTTTCCCGAGAAAATATTTTATTGAGAAACTATCAGAGAGGAAATTGGTTACGCTTACTTAATTTATATTCAAAGCTTTGTGCCTCACGAACTAGAATTTTATGTATGGCGACGAACGAGCAGTTTTGATGTGCATTAGGGTTTTGGCTCTGCTTCTGAAATAGTTGAAGTACCAAATCTATTAAGTACTGATTTGGTACTGAGGTACTTTTGTAAAAAATGAGTTTAAAAAAAAACTAAGCTCAAAAATGTGTTTAGTAAACACTTAAAAACAACTTATTTTCGTAGTTTTGGGTAAAAAAAGCTGAAAACGTGAAGCAATAAAAATGAACTTATTCTCACAGCACAGTAGAACCAGTTTTTTTTTAAAGCACAGCAATACCATATCAGTCCTAAAGTTACTTCAATAGTTACCTAGCATTGAAGCTGATACCCGAGTAATTTCGGTACGATACGAGAAGGTCCCTTGTAGTTAGGGTGGGGTTTATTCAGACACATTATGCATATACTCGTGTTACAGCACATTTTTGACTTAGAAATATGAAAACAGGAACCTAGGTTAAAAATAAAAAGAAAAACCTAAATCGAGGCAAGTCCGTTGTTCAACTTACAGGATGTCCTAGAAACAATTAACATGCTTGTTGTTACGCCTGGAAAGATAGGATTTGGTTTCCAAAATGAAGTGTATGCTTATGACTCGGGTGATTTTTTTTTTCTTATTTGTTGACTTATCGTATGCAGATCAAATAATGGCATCACCAGCTTCGTTGCCGCAGGAAGTGAAGCCATCTGTATCTGTTTCACCTGCTGGTGGTGCTTCAACACAAACTGCTGCTTCACCTGCTTCAAGTGTAGGCCCAACCACGTCTAATAGCCAATGTGGTTCTGTGAATGATTCAGTACAAGAACCTCTGCAGAATAAATTTGGCAATGCACCCAGCTTTGCTGTTCCAGCACCTTCGTTCTCTTACAGTGTGCCTCCTAATGCAAACATTAGTTTTGGGACGCCTCAGCAGTCATCACCTAGTTCTGTAAGTATTAAAATTACCTCATTTTAAATCAAAATTATAATTCATCTCTGGTTCTAAATTTGACATTTCTTCTAATTTAGGCAATTAAATCAAATCCGCCAGCATCTCCAATGGTTCAGGCCCCAGTCCATGGCTTGTCGTCTTCTGCCAGTCCTTTTTCATACAACATTCCAAAATCTGGTTATTCTTTCCCTAATAGCCAGCAGTCTCAGTCTGGCACGGTGAGGGTCATTTCTTTGAATGAACATGAATTTATCTTGATTAACCGAGTATTGCTGCAATCGGTAGCAAATGACTGTTTGTTGTTTCGATATTTATATTCTTATATCCTTTTCCCAAAAGGAAAAGGCTGTCATTGAGTTATTGCTGTATTTTTTATCTGCTGTATACCCTTCGCTTATATCCAGATGGAAAGTTAACTTGACAAGTCATTTGATTTTATCCAAAAAATTAGTTGTTCTAAATCTTTTGTTGATTGCAGAATATCACACCTGCTACTGCACAAGAAACTGGTAATGCCTCATTGTCCTCAACTAGTTTGCATTCTGGTTCCTTGCCTGCTCCCACTTCAAGTTCCACAGTGAATATATCATCAGCTCCTAATGCGGGACCAAAAGCTTCATGGGTTCTCACTGCCCCATCTTTCAACATGACTCCCGGAATGCCTGGAACTCCCAGGACACCTGGCCTCCCTGGAATAGCTCACTCAGTGCAAATATCTTTTAATCCGACTGCACCGTCTGCACCTATTGATTCTTCTTCTGTAGCCCTTAGACCTAACATGCAAGCAGTACCTGTTGCGTCATCAGCAGTTCAACCACATGTAGGTTCTCCTTACCCATCTTTATCTGCTATGGGTGCTCCCTGGCTTCCATCCCCACAGATAGGAGGCTTACCTAGGCCACCATTTTTGCCATATCCTGCTGCCTTTCCTGGTCCCTTTCCTTTGCCTGCACATGTTATGCCTCTCTCTTCTGTTCCTTTACCTGATTCTCAGCCTCCTGGTGTCACTCCTGTGGGAAATACTGTAGCAAATTCTTTGTCTTCCGTTGGTTCTGGTCATCAATTGGCAGGGTCTTCAGGGATGCAGAAAGAATTACCTCATCCTGGCGTTGGTATGCTTTTGCTTTCATACTTGGTAAACACTATTTGACCGTATAACAATCTATTAGGGCTCTCTCTTCTCTTTCTCTCTCTCTATTGGTTTATCCTTCCCCTTCGTCGATGATAACTTAATCAATGCTACATCGCGTATGGGCCATTTATAGATGACAGGAACAATTCCATGATGCAGGTACCGATAGTAGAGCTGTTGTCAATGAACAATTGGATGCCTGGACTGCCCACAAGACAGAGACAGGTGTTGTATACTATTATAATGCTTTGACCGGTGAATCAACTTATGATAAGCCTCCTGGATTTAGGGAGGAGGTACGTGGAAATTTTATTAATTTTTAGATTCATATGATATGAACACTTTGTGAAATTTCAGTTTGCAAGATGCCTAATCCTAAATTAACTACCAAATGTATCTAAGATGCGGATTGAAATATTTTTGAGGTTTGTTTTATTGCTGCTGCATTTCATTCTCAGGCCTTGAAGTTATCATGTTCATTCTATCAAAATAATATCTTATTTTAACCAGAGCACCTTGTGGTGTCCACATTCCAATATAAGTGGTGAGAAAGTGGACCATATTCTTCTTCATATCCCTATAGGTATGGAGCTTTGGTCCCTTATCTTCTCATGCGTAATTTATGGCTTATATATAGGTTGTTTTTTTATATGTTGACATGCTAGTATATTTAGTGTGATATGTATTTGGCCTACTGCATATGAATATTAGATCTTGCAGTGTTTCCTATTGTATACCCTGTGGTAGTTTAGCTGTCTTCCCTGTTTTCCCATTAAATTCGTAGAAAAATCACATCATTAGTTTTTATTCGACCAGAGATGGCTTTTTAAATGCTCTGAATGCTATGATTATGAAGATTTCATTGTATAACTTTTTTTCCCACCCTAATATTTTTCTTATAGAACTGTATAAGATAAGAATAGGGAGTTATTTAAAAGATGAGATCTAAAGTTTCAGTGTCCCTAGATCTGGTTTGAAATAATTGCTTATTTTCTTTTTCTAGGCATCATGCATGACTTTATTTGACCATTACTGTTGGGGATGTGTCTGATTAATTTCAACTGTTTTTTTGTGCAGCCTGGTAAGGTTACTATGCAGCCAACTCCAGTTTCAACGTAAGTTCTACTTTATCCTGTTGGGGTTCCCTTTTTTTTATTTTTTTATTTTTTCACTTATCTGTTGTATTTTGGATGTTAAAGTTGTTTCAGAATCTTTTTGCGATATAAGAATGTTCTTTTATTCTTGTTTTGTTTCTCTTCTGTTTAGGGTGAATTTGACTGGAACTGATTGGGTATTGGTCACAACCAGTGATGGAAAAAAGTTTTACCATAACAGCAAAACCAAGGTATGGGCCGTATTACTTGTTTATTGAAACGCCTGGGGTATTCAGAAACACTGTTGTATGAATACGTGTTAGTTCTAATATTACAGTCTTACAGAGTACAGACCTTATTGTATCTTGTTTTTCTCTGATCAGGTAAGTAGCTGGCAGATCCCAAATGAAGTGATTGAATTGAGATATAAGCAGGATAGTGATGTGCCAAAAGTACATACAATATCAGTGCCAAATAATAATTTAATGATTGAAAAGGGATCTGCTCCAGTTAGTTTGAGTGCTACAGCCATTAACACGGGTGGTCGGGAAGCCATGCCTTTTAAACCCTCAGCTGTGCAGGGAACATCTTCTGCACTTGATCTGATTAAAAGGAAGTTGCAGGATCCTGTTACATCTTCACCAATTTCAGCACCATCAGAATCAAATGGTGCAAGAGGAGTTGAGAGTACACCTAAGGGCCAGCAAAGCGAGAATAGCAAAGATAAGCTGAAAGACACTAATGGAGATGGAAACTTGTCTGATTCCTCATCAGATTCAGAGGATGCAGACAGTGGGCCAACAAAGGAGGAGTGTATTGTTCAATTCAAGGTATCTTTGTTTCTTTTAGTCTTCTACTACATGAAAATTTAATATGAACATTAAATTGCAGAGATGCGTATTGTACCCTTAGTCTCTTATAGTGGAATTAAGTTTGAATGTTTTCTTTTTTCTTTATACTCATGGTTTTGAGTCAATTGACTTTTGGACATCCATATTAGTGATCATTTTTGAAGATTTCAACTTAAGACCTGTAGCATATAGAAAGTGTGGTTTGCTGCTTTGTACTTTTTTCTCCTTGACGTAACTTCGATTACAGCCATCCCTGAATTGGGTAAAGTTGGTTTTATTTCCAACTTTAAATGCGGTTAATGAGAAATGCTAATCATCTGGCAATTATATATACAGGAGATGCTTAAAGAACGGGGAGTGGCACCATTCTCGAAGTGGGAGAAGGAACTGCCAAAGATAGTGTTTGATCCACGCTTTAAGGTTTGTTGAGTCCAAACATTAGGAATTTCATTGTTTGGAAATTAGGGGGCTAACCTATAACTGAAACTGCTTGAACAGGTTTGTTGGATTCATGCATCTGCTAATTTTTGGAAGAGTGAATTTGTTCCTGCCAATATTTGGGTCAATTCTTAATCAATTGACTTAGGGTGCATGTTAATAACTGATACCCAAATCGCTTTTATTTTATTATTAAATTTTATTTTAATTTTTAATTTTTAATTTGTAAGTGTTGTGAAAGGTTTAAACTTTAATTAATGAGGCTTTACAATAGAATCTTCCAGTCAGTGCTGACCTCCTGGGCAGATACTGCCTTAGATGCGGTATTTTCTTTTTCTCTGCCAGTATTATCTATTGTTGATCTCTGTCATGCCAGACTAAGAAGTTTGTGTTAAGTTTCTTTGCGTTACACTTCTATTGTTAAAGGGCTCTACTGTTGCAGGCCATCCCAAGTCATGAAGCTCGCAGGTCCTTGTTTGAGCACTATGTTAAAACACGTGCAGAGGAGGAGAGAAAGGAAAAAAGAGCAGCTCAGAAGGCTGCAATAGAGGGATTTAAGCAGTTATTGGATGAAGCATTGGAGGTCGTGTAGATTGCCTTATTTTAGCTTTCTTATGTCTATCTTATTATCTCAACTGTGGATTTGGAGATTGCTTATGTAGTCACTTTCAAATTTTCAGGATATTGACCATAACACTGATTACCAAGGTTTCAGAAAGAAATGGGGCAATGATCCACGCTTTGAGGCTTTAGATCGCAAAGATCGGGAGCATTTATTGAATGAAAGGTATCACCTAATAAGGAGACTTTTGATCGGTATCCATGGTGTTTTACATATATTATTGTGTAGTTAGTCCTCTATTCGTTTATTTTTTCAATAGGAAATAAGATAGTTAATTAACTAAATTGTACAACATAGAGGACAAGGTGTCCACTGGAAGAAAAATATCGACTTCTGAACTGATTTGAGGGGATATAGTAATGGTTTCTGTTCCATGATTTCTATTCTACTTGTAGGGTCCTTCCATTGAAGAGGGCTACTGAAGAAAAGGCTCAAGCAGAGCGTGCTGCTGCTGCAGCTGGTTTTAAGTCCATGCTTAAAGAGAAAGGAGATATTACTGTTAGTTCTCGTTGGTCCAGGGTAGGTGCATTTTACATCAGCTTGTGGTTTATTTGATGTGTTGAAGAGTGCTTCCAGACAATGTACTTCTGGATGCTTTTGGTATAATTCTACGAGTGTGTCTTCTTTTTGGTCAATCATGAGCGTGCATCCAGCAAAAAATTTAAAGTAGAATTTTATCCTTAAGCTATAACTTCATTATTACTTTTGTTTCTGTTAGTTGTTTCAATTTTATTCTCCCTTTCATTTTACAATGTAAATGATACAGGTTAAGAAATTTTTGATTAAAAAAACTTTTGAATGTATGAGATACTTGGTGTGCTAGAAAATTTGTATGAACTTATTTTATGTTGGGGACTTTCTGTAGCTGAAAGATAGTCTGCGGAATGATCCGAGGTACAAAAATGTTAGGCATGAGGATAGGGAAGTTTTATTCAATGAGCATATATCGGGACTAAAAGCTGTGGAAGAGGAAGCAGAACGAGAGGCAAAAGCTAAACGTGACGAGCAGGTAAAAATAGTGCATCTGCATTTGTTAGGAACTCCCTCATCCTCTTCCTTCCTCGTTTCTTTCTGTCTGTATAAGCGAATGGGACCTATAAGAAAACCTTTATTAGAAGAAGGAAATAGGTAATGATAAATTTACTTGATGAGAAAGGCTCTCGCCTTTCCCACCTATACCTCTTCAATTTTGTTCGAAAGAAAATATGTATGCATAACATATATCTGTCACTTCAGATGGTGTGTTGGTGGGGATTTTGAGAATTAGTTCTTCAAAACAGTTGACAAAAAACCTAAATGATCTGTAAAAAGAGAGAATAAAACTGTATTGCATCTAGGAGTGTGTACTTCAAAAAAAGAATGCTAAAGATTTTGTTTCCCTTGGCTTTCAGGAAAAACTGAGGGAAAGGGAACGAGAACTGCGGAAGCGGAAGGAAAGAGAAGAGCAAGAAACAGAGAGGGTGCGACTGAAAGTTCGCAGGAAGGAGGCAGTTGCTACTTTTCAAGCTCTACTTGTGGAAACAATTAAAGATCCTCAGGTATTATCCTTTGTTCACTTGGTTTTAGCTTCATTAGCTTAAGCTACGCATCTGCTATGAATTTCTGTACACTTACTATGGTATGGTGTGGTGTATCGTGTGTTGATAGATTATTAAACCTTTTGGCTTATCATGTACTCAGGCATCTTGGACAGGCTCTAAGCCTAAACTGGAGAAGGATCCGCAAAGGCGTGCAGCCAACCCTGATTTAGATCCATCTGACATGGAAAAGCTTTTCTGGGAACATGTAAAGATGCTAAACGAGGTAATATATAATCCGGTGCTTCAATCGATTTCAATTTTGTTATCATTGTTAAAAAATGTCTTTTGTTTATAACTTGTTCCAGTTGAAAAATGCTGCTTTTGTAATTTTTTACTTTATTGGTTTGGCTTTTCTAGCGATGTGCACATGAGTTCAGAACTCTGTTGGCCGAAGTCTTGACTGCAGAAGCAGCGTCCCAAGAGACAGAAGATGGAAGAACAGTTCTTAATTCGTGGTCAACAGCTAAACGCATTCTAAAGACGGATCCCAGATACGACAAGATGACAAGAAAAGAGAGGGAAGTTTTGTGGAGACGATATTCTGAGGAGATGCTGCGGAAGCAAAAGTCAGCAGTTGGTCGTAAGGAAGATAGGAAAACAGATGCTAAAAGTAGAAGTTCTATTGATGCTGGGAGGAATCCCTACGGATCTAGGGGTACTCACGATCGGCGATGATTTTTTTGGTTAAAGCTTAAAGAGACTGGAACTTCAAGTTAATTTCCCTGGTCCTCGTAATTTTGACTCGAGTAGGACGGATGACGGGTCGAGCACAAAAACTACACTTCTGTATTATACGAATTATATCGAGTGATTAAGCTGATGTTGCTTAAGTTTTTTAGTCGAATAGTTGCTGTTGCCCATAAATTTATGTCCAATTTGCCTTCTCAGTTCTCACTAAACCGATCCTTCTCAGTTGCCTCCGAATCTTTTACGTTTCACTCTTTTTGTCATATATGTATATTTTTTTTCACTTAATACATTTCCCCCTTTAATTTTGAGTTTTTAACTTTTGAGAAGGGCAAAAAGAATGGTTTGGTAGGAAAAGTCACAAGTGCTTATGAGTCGCAGAATCACTTGTTGAACAAGCACATGGCAAATGCCTTGTTAGGATACGCTTGAATTTTTAGCAAAACGAGCGGGAGTGCTCCCTACAGACATCACCAAGGGTGTGATATTTTTGTTTTAATATTAAAGAACTATCAACTTCATATTCTGAAAAGGGCTTCAACAAAAAAACATATCATATGATTAGTATAATACTTTCTTTTTATTGAAAAATTAAGAGAAATTTTTCATTGAACTAGGAATACAAAATGTGAAATATGTTATTATACAATTAAAGAAAAATGTATACGTAAATCTTGAAATTTAAATTTATTTTAAAAAATTTCTTAAAAATGATCCTGATAAAAGAAAAATTACTGTTAAAAAAAAAAACCTTTAATAAAAAACTGCATGTATTGTTTACTTTAACGAAAAATTATATTTTTACACAAAAAACTATTTACTTTATCTTTTATTTTACCCTAAAAATCAAAATTCCCAAACCACTGCATTAGCTTTCCTTAAAAAAAAAATTTACAAAATCCATTAATAGGTGCTAGAGTAGTGGATGAAGCTCGAACGCCAGTTTCAAAAATTAGGGCTTCCAGTCTCTCTCTTCTGATCCTCCTAATCTTCTCCCACAGTTTGCGATTGCTAATTAGGGTTCGCTGAAGGAGATTGTGCAATCGCACAGTTGTGTTTAGTGTTTTCACCTTTCAGAGGCTCGAGGTTCGCGACCCTCGTCGAGGACTCAAGTAAGGTAGATTTCGTTCCGACGATTTGGAATTTGAAAATTGAAATTGGAAGTGCTGATATTTTAACATTTGACATTGTATAACGATCCGAAAATCCATGGATGCCTTTTTTTTTGTTTTCTGCTCGTTTCGTGTCGATTAATTGATTGAAGAGGGGTTTCTGCAACAAGGGTTTTATCATAATTCTTTAGGGATTTGATTGAGCAATGTTATATTCCGCAATGGATTCTATGCGTTTTTCTCCTTGGTTTGTTTTGCTGCGTTCGATCTTTTGCACAACGTTATGCCTTTTCTGTTTACAATGTATATCTTCGAAAATTTCGATACAACTAGTTAGCCTGTTTTACTGAAAATTAATCTGTTTTGTGAAGGATTGGAGTTGGGTTTCCGCTCAATCAAATTTCATGAGAGTGGAACTATATGGCAACCTATACAGGAAAAGGAGCCCCCTCAAATGGGTCAGTTTATGTTTGCAATCTGCCTGAGGGGACTGATGAAAATATGTTGGCTGAACATTTTGGCACCATTGGGTTGTTAAAGGTAGCGATTTTTACCGTTTATTCTTTAACTAACCTTCTGTATAAATGTCTTTGTATATCTGGAAAACTCATCAGTTTCTCCTGTGTTTCTCTTTTTAATCTTGCTTTTTACCATTTAGAAAGACAAGCGAACAGGGTCGACCGAAAATTTGGCTGTACCGAGACAAATTGACCAACGAACCTAAGGGAGATGCTACTGTAACGTATGAAGATCCACATGCTGCGTCAGCGCCGTTGAATGGTTTAATGACAAGGAATTCCATGGTAATACCATTGGGGTTTTTATAGCCGAGTCCAAAAGCAAAGATGATCAGACTCATAACTCTGCTGTTGATCCAAGTTTTGGCGGTGATCTTGATGGATCGGAGGAAGCTACTCAGGATACGAATGGGGGTGGTGGCGGTGGTCGAGGTCGAGGTGATGCTACTGGGAAAGCATGGCAACAAGAAGGAGACTGGACGTGTCCAAATACAAGGTCTGTGATGTGATATTGGTGAGCAGCTCTTTCTTGCACTTTCGTTGGCATTTTCATTCTTAAATGTAATGTTTATTCTGTAATAGCTTCTCATACTCTTTTTCTAACAGCTGTGCCAATGTGAATTTTGCATTTCGTGGTGTGTGCAATCGCTGTGGAAGTGCTCGACCAACCGGAGCTTCTGGTGGTGCAGGGGGTGGTGGTCGTGGCAGGGGTCGTGGCGTTGATGCTGGGGGCCGTGGTGGTCCTGTTGGTGCTCCTACAGGTGGACTCTTTGGTCCAAATGACTGGCCGTGTCCAATGTAAGACTGTTTTATTCTTCCTCCCCTCCCTCGTTTTAAGCTACTTCTTTCTTTATTATTATTGTTGTTGTCGTCGTCGTCGTTGTTTTTAAGTTTCAGTCCAAGTTTTGTCACGTATTTTTATATTCTGTTAATGAGGTGGAATTAGTAGAAACATGATTTCTTGGTTTTTTTAAAGGACCTTTTATTCCATTCTCATATGATTTTGATTTTCTTTACATTCTTACAAATATATTATCATATTGCGAGGTTGTGGAAGTTAGGTAGAATCTTGCATCAACGTTGGTTAATATGTTGCTACTTGCTAGGACAGAGAAATTTTATGCGTTGACCTATTTTATGTAGCATTATAAGTTTCATACTTGAAGGCCAAGTTCGATGGGTATATGTGCACTAGCCTACTAATTGATGGTATTTGGGTATAATTATTCATTCCGTAAGCTAACTCTACTTTGTTTGGGTTTAGCAGTATCATAGATATATCATTTAAATGCAGAGTGTATTATTGCTCACACTGCTTCGTTTTCTTCTTTTGTTTCAGGTGTGCCAACATCAATTGGGCAAAGCGTACAAAATGCAATATATGCAACACTAATAAACCGGGTCACAATGAAGGGGGTGTAAGGTATTGCATTACTATTACTTACCTATGCTTCTGTCAATTGCCAATCAATTGCTGATATCCATTGTGCGGGAAGATGGTGTAATACTGATAGTACGTAAATATAAATATGTACACAGTCTTGGTCTTGTCATTGATTCTTATCTATTTATGTCCATACCTAAACGTGTTGAACCATTCTGTTTTCCCTCCCCCCACAATCCAAAAGGGGGAAAAATCACTTTTGAATAAAAGCTATACGCTATTGTATTTGTTGTAAGAAAATTTGGTCATACTTTCTTCTCCTAAAAAAGTTAATTGGTCTTGTTTCACACGGTAAAGGGATCCACTTTCTTTACCCTGCCCCTTTTTTTCCCTTAAATTCTCGTATAAATTCTTGTATTTCTATCTAGCTGAAGAATTAGATGCACATTGGTGGTGGTTAATGAAGAAAGCAGTAAGCTGGTTTTTCCTCTTTTCTTAGGTTATCTCTAGATTCTCTACTTTTATTAGAAATATTTTTCAGTCTGTATTGAAACATTCTTGTGACTTTTATAGAGATATACTGATTTTCCTTTATATCTATTTGACAGGGGGGGACGTGGTGGTGGTTACAAGGAACTTGATGAAGAAGAATTAGAGGAAATCAAGCGACGTAGGCGGGAGGCAGAAGAAGTAAGATTTATATGCATAAGCATTATTTGAACATACATATCTTTTGTTCTGGTTTAGAAGTGATTTTATACCATTCTCAGGATGATGGAGAGATGTATGATGAGTTTGGCAACCTCAAGAAAAAATTTCGCGCTAAAACACAGCCAGCTGAAACTGGACGAGCTCTTCCAGGTGCCTGGACGTGCTGGATGGGAAGTGGAGGAAATAGGTACGGATGCATTTTGTGGCATGATTATTCTTAATTAGGAGTATGTTGATATAGGTTTGATTTTTAGATTTTAAATCCTTAATTCTAGAGGTATGTACATAAGATGTTAGTTATTATCGCATTCTTAAACATGATTGTCCTTTTTCCTTTTTCCTTTTCCTCTTGATTCTACTTGGAATGTTTGGACATTTTTATTTACCATAGCACTTGAATGAAGCTGATTTTAGGAGTTGTTGCTGCTTTCTTAGTCAAGCAAGAACCGCGTTTGGATTAGTGATTGACTTTGTTTGAAAAATGATATGGCAGGTGGCAGAGAGAGAAATAGAGAGAGGGGAAGGGAACACGATGATAGACCGAGCAGCAAGAACAGAGACAGAGATGATGGTTATAGGCATCGTAGTCGAAGTAGAGAAAGGGAAAGGGATAGGGGGAGAGATAGGCCTCGAGACTATGATTATGATCGAGAAAAGGAATACGGGAGGGACAGGGATCGAGACCGGGACCTGGCACAGGCACCGTTATTGAAGGTTATGGGACAGTTTCCCAGTTTTGGTTCTCCATGGAGCTGCATTTGTGTTGAACTTTGTTTTACTTTGCATTTAAAGCTAGTCGAATGGGGAATACGGGTCTCTGCTCTCCGCTTTCTTCGAACCGTGATCTGCTCTCCATTCATGTATAATTTGGTTTCCATGAGTTTATTTGCACTATGAGAATTTTGCTTTCAACATTTCTTTTTAAGTTATGAATATTATCAATTGTCTGATGGGAATGGGTTATTTTTCGTCATTGGATGGTTGGTTTATCCGTCTTTTAATCCAACACTCGTATTTGGGAAGTAAAAATTCTACGTTTTTGTCCCAATTTTTCATGTAGACTAACTAAGCATCGATGCCATATCATTTGATGCTATGATATTTGACATTTTAGGGAAAATACCTCGTTTTACGATATATCAGGAAATGGTTTGATCAAGACACACTGAGTTGAAGAAAATGTCTTAATCATTAGGGCAATCAACCGATTTTCTCATTCTGTTTTTTTAAATATTTTTAGCTGCTTAATATTAAATGTTGTGTATTCAACAAAAAATAAACACGTTAATCAAAATTGAAATAATAATTTAGCCATCAACTTTTTTGATATCATGTAATTTATAAAAATTTTCTATAAATTTAATCCTAACGACAACATTCTAAGTGACAAAGGAATATTATGAACATCAATTGCTTGAGAGCAACCTTCTTGACTTGCAGAATTTGTCATCTACAAAGTGACAAAAATATCCCCACGTTATCTTTTTGTTTTTTTTTCTTCTATTTGCTGAACCAACACGTGTTTTTCTACATTATTCAAATCAAATGGATGAAAATCTTGTTGGACGGATTTCCTAATTCCTTTTGTTTTTGTTCCTTTCTGGTCAGAAACTGTCTTCTTCTTTGATAATTGGGGTTAGGGTTAGACAAGAACATACCATTTATTTAAATCCCTAATATTTTTTTGTGTCTCAAAGTTTTGATTAAGGTAGTTCTCACATCGGATAATATCAAAATGAGGTTGAATGAGTATTTTTCATGAGTAATTCATTTCATAAGTGACGTTAATTTCCTCTATTTTCAGATAAACAAGTCAAAATCATCACATTATTTAACTATAAAAGTAAGAGAAAGTTTAACATGACTGCTTGATGAAGACAATTCTAAACCTAAAATTAAATGAAATCAAAATACAAAAAATCTCATATTATCATAAAATAAAAATACCATACAGATATCGTGATCAATCAGTTTAACCCCAATTTTTCTCTTTGCATGGGGTATGGTTCACGGATTAAATTAAGGGATATAAAATAATGTTGATGAGTGATGATGCTACTTAAAGGTCAAAACTTGCCAACAGGATCCGCTCGGATCCTTTTGGTGAGGATATGATCCGTGAATTGTGTCTGTTCATCGTACATTGTGTGGTTAGTTTTTATCAAGTACTGTTTGTATTTAATTTTAAATTAAAATATTTAAAATAATATTTTATCACACGATATACGATGAACGAACACGATTCATAGATTCCTGAGATCTTTACTACGAGACCCGGCGAAGTTTCGGATTACAAAACTTGTACCCTTTTATTTATTAAAAGGAGTCAGTGCACTCCAAATTTGTGTACAGACACTTGACTTTTGCCCCTCGTCTTCTGACACCACATGCATATTCCTTTTAACCATTTTCTAGCGATCTCTGTTTATGCAAATTGCAGGTAGAGAGGTTTAATTTGTTGAATCCGTTAATTCCAATAGCAGCAGCAGCAGCCGCCGCCGCCGCCATGCCACACGTCTCCGATTTTCAAATCCACATTAATGGTCAGCAAACATTCTTCGTCAGCGAGGTAATCAAACGAAAAATTCTATGTGTTTCGGAGTAAATCATTACTTTTTTGCTAATTACAGCGCACTTCTTTTGCAGGAGATTTTATCAACATATTCGGCAAGGTTGAAGAAGATCATCAAGCAAGAAAGGAGAGGAACCAAGATCAAGAATTCCGGTATCAAAATCAATGACTTTCCCGGAGGCCCCGACGGGTTTGAGTTGGTTTCTCGATTCTGTTACAACAATGGGAGAATCACGCTCACAGTTTCAAACGTGTGCCTCCTCCACTGCTCTGCAATCTTCCTCGGCATGACCGAGAACCTTGCACCCCGCAATTTGTTGCAGAAAACAAATACTTTTCTCGACGGACTTTTCGAGTGGTCGTTGAAAGACGTACTAGCCTGCCTGAAGAGCTGCCACTCGTTCTTCGACTACGCAGATTCGTCCGGTCTTTTAGACAAACTCATTACTGCACTGCTAACAAAGATCGCTCAGAATTCTGACGTAAGCAACCTCATTGCCTTGTCGCCTTCGTCTTCTCCGGAAACTGCATCTGGGTTCAGACTCTCTTCCAACACCCCAAAGTCGATCAGGCCGAGCTCGTCCAGCAGAGCGTGGTGGTTCAACGATGTGGCTGTTCTGCCACCAAATATCATTGCAAAACTCCTCCAGATTTTAGGTGCGTACGGACCCAAAAACAACAGCCTGATCCTCACCAGATTCCTCCTCCACTACTTGAAAATCTCAGCCCAGAGAAAACCCGGGAACTCGAAATGCGAGCTCGGGACGCTCGCAGACACGGCGGTTCACGGCGTGATCTTGGTGGGCAAAAAGGTGTTTTCATGCAGAGCTCTGTTCTGGGTTCTGTAGGATTGTGTCTGGACTTGGAATTAGCAAAGAGTACAAAGTTGGGTTGGAGAGGTTGATTGGTGGGATGATCGATGAAGCCACGCTGGATGATTTGCTGGTGTCGGGGCACGACAGGGGAGTTTATGATGTTAATCTCGTGATTAGGATGTTAAGAGTGTTTGTTAATGGCGAAGGAGTTTCAGTGCAGAGGTTGAAGAAAGCTGGGAAATTGGTTGATATGTACTTGGGTGAAATATCACCTGACCAGAATCTCAAGATTTCTAAGTTTCTGGGAGTTGCAGAGAGCTTGCCTGATTGTGCTAGAGACTGCTTTGATGCGGCCTACAGAGCCATTGATGTCTATCTTGAGGTAACCACTCCACTGCCATTACCTTAATTCTTTACCCTTTTGTTTTTATTTTTTAGTGTGATTGATTGACTGTTAATCGTCGATTTTGGATCGAATGTGTGACAGGCTCATCCAAATCTTTCGTTCGAACAGCGGGCGAGATTATGCAGATGCCTAAATTACGAGAAGCTGAGCTTAGAAGCATGTAAAGAGCTTGCCAAGAATCCTAAAATCCCACCAAGGTTTGCCATTCAAGCACTTATTTCTCATAACTCCAAAATAACACCAACACAGCCAAAACTGGTTGTATATCAGAGTCCACATTCTCATTTCCATTCATGTTCCGATATGGCTTGGCACAAGACCGGCGGGGCGGAAGAAGAGGAATCGACGTCGTTAAACTTGCAGAGGATGCAATGGAGGGTGGTGGAGTTGGAGAAACTGTGCAGGCAAATGAAGGGGCAAGTGTCAAGGATGGTAAAACATAATGTCTTGACGACTATCGCTCCAACTCACGGTAGAGCTTTTCCCAGACTTTGTTGATCCTTCATGTTTCAAATATTACTAAGGGTAAAACAGTAAAAGTATGTTATTATTTTGTGTATTCTCTTTTATATTTACTCTGGAGATCAAAGTATGTAATTGGGGTTTATTGCTTGTAATTATTCCATTACCTGATAAGAATGATTTCATTTCATATCTAGTACAATACAATAGGAATGTTTAACAGCATCAGTTTTTCTTAAAGGTTTTAAAAAACGTTAGGTGCTAGTCGGGCTGCGGGTTAGGCCGACTAGCCACAGCCTAGGACGCCTAGTCCTTACTGAATTTTCCTCTACATTTTGGCCTAACTTGCATTGGTCCTCCACTGCCTAGCACTTAGGTGCCGCCTAGACCGATTTTTAGAATAGTTTTCTATTGCCTTTTGGGGCAAATGTGTACCATGTAACGACGTAGTTTAGCTCTATAGTCTTGAAAATATCTTTTATCCTATCACAGACGTTATCTCTATGGATTATTACAGATGTTAGAATTTGCCCTATGGCCTTCTAATTTAATCCGACATAGGACGACATAAAATTATAGCAATTAAATGCATAAGCAAAGGTTAACTTTTTTAATTTGTGTTTTTGTGTACGTGATTGCCTAGTTGAAGAAAAAGTCCAAGAAACTTGATCAATTAATTGAAACCATTGCCTTAAGCTGTATTAGTAGAGCCTTGTATCATGCATGTGAGCTACTAATGATGCCATTAATTTGTATTAATCCCGTGATTATAGAGTAATTAAATACAACAAGCCATCTCATGTTTGATGGAATCCCCATTTACAATCTCTCTGTTATGGCTTGCGATTCCTCACAATCTAACTATAGATATCACCTCATGAGATTTTTATCTCATTCGGCTCCTCACTGAATTTTGAATACGTGATACCATCTATGAGCTTTGAAATTTCATAATGAGGACTAGAGCCAACACAACTTTTCAAGGAGCCCGTCATTATTCAAGGATTAGAGCCAACGCAAGTTGAAGCAACCGCAACTTTTGAAAGCTAACTTAAGAAGACAAATCGGAGCCTGTTAAATCGGGCACATGACATGTCAAAAGAATAGTCTACTCTGATACCATAATAAACTTTGTAGGTTCATGTAAGTCCACCACGAACATTATCGATGTTGTTCCAACTTAATCACATATTGCTAGGTATTGAATTTTATCAGAAAAGATCTCGATGATATTAGGGGTAGAAACTTCCATATATTAATTGTATATTATTTTGTCATATAACCAATGCGAGAGCATATTCTCCAACAATCCTCAGTAATGCACAAAATCAAAATGGGATCTTCCTTCGACCCTAATTTAAGCTCAAACTCTTTTCTTTCCTTTAATCATGGATTAATTAGCAAATTACTAATCACATTCCCAAGGGATGATACTAGGCCGACCAAATTTTTAAACCAAATTTGATAAACGAAATGATATAATTGTTGATGATTAAATTATCATTTAAGTGTTAATTAACTTATTTATTATATATTGATCTCCCAAACTTTATACTTATCTCTAAGTTTATAATTTAATAAGTAAATTAAAGGTTTGGTGGGAGTACAACATCGACATGACAGGTTTTGCTTGTTAGGAAATCATATTGGCAAGCACACCTTAAATTAGATTAGAGAAGGAATAATAGTTAAGCCTACAATATTAATTATATTTAGGCGTTATACGTTTAGTACTTCCTTTCTCCCTTCCCATGCGTGTAAAGTGCAAGAAGAAATTTCGTTTTATTATGTCAGCATCACTTTATAATTGTCTCACTGGCTCTCACTTTATGCCTAAACAATTTTGCAAGTGGCAATGTATGTGCTTTTGGGATGGATTATGAAAAAGGTAGGATTGTAATTCGGAGGTGGTTATAAACATGTTTAGGTCTGCTGGTCACGATAAAATACCGTTTCAATTGTATTTGAGTTAAATTTTTTATTTTTATAAACTGTTTATTCAATTTTTACGATTTTTTAGTAAATCGACGTGTTATAATAAGTGGAAATGGATCCTCTTCAGATCTCTCTCTCCAAAGTCTGGAGATCAAGTGATTTGGATCTTTAAAAATTTGATCCAACGGCTAAAAATTATTATGGCTTTTAAAAGTTTTTACTAACTTCTTTATTCTTAACCGTTAGATCAAATTTTAAAGACTCGCCGAATCTCTTTCCATAATAAGTGGATGAAAAAAATTAATAGGTATGACTTCTAGTTTACACTTTGAGTCGAATAATAGGTCTGACTTCTAACAATAAAAATTTGAAGTGTTAAATTGAAAGAAATGGAACCGGATCCTTGTAAACTGAGCTTCCTAATTAAGGGATCCTGTTGAAATTTGATTCAATGACTACAATTATTATAACTTTTAGGAGGATTTCCTATTTGTAACTGTTAGATTAAATTTCAACGATTTAAATCCTTTAATTGGAAGGCTCAATTTCAAAAGATCCGAAGAAGATCCGGTTCCGGAAGAAATGACGGACGGGCAAGCGAAGACTCATCAAAATAGCGTGTCAATTTAGTCCACCACCGAAATATACGGACTATAGTCCCACCCTCCACGTTCTTCCCGAAATAACCTTTTTCCCTTCCATAACTTTCCGTCCAACAGAAAGGCGCATTCCTTTTCAATTCTCTACCTGCACCAGCACCAACCTCCAAGAAGACTCGGGGCAATATCGTAAATTAAAAATGCAGGCAGGGGTATTTTTGTCGGAACAGCGTCTTCAAAAGCACTGATCTTTTCTCATCAGAAATTGCATGCCAATTGCCAAACTTCCTCTCTTTCTCCGTACTCCCCCTGTATTATAAATTATAATCCTGTGTGTGTCCAATATTATATATGTACACACACACCGCCCGCTTGTACCTATCCTTTAGTCGGCTCGACATTAGGAATTTCCCGGAAAATATATCTTTCCCCGGAAAGTTTCAACCTTTCCCTGAAAACACTCTTAACTCTGACCATGTACCTAACGGAAATCTCCAACTTCCCGTCACTCCTTCCTTCCGCGGTGCTAAGAAACATTCCGTTCCATCCAATTTGGATCTCATCTCTAGCTCCTTCGATGACGCTGTGCTCCGCCGCTTGAAATCTCTCGGTCCGCCGTCCATCAGCTTGTCCTGGCTCTCCAAGGCCGTTGATTTTCTCGCCTCGACTCACTCCGAAGCGAGAAACCTCATCTCCGATCTCAAGGTCGCGCCGCCTCTCGATGACTCGCTCGCTTGGTATTTGGACAACAGCGTCAAGCTCTTGGACCTCTGCAACTCCATCTCTGCCGAGATCGAACGCCTTCGCCAGCGCCGCCTTCATCTCACCTTCGTCCTTCACCTTCTCGGCGACGGAAAGGGTGAAGAGCTCCCGTCGCCGGAGAATCTGCACCGATCTCGCAAATCTCTATCCGATTTTGATCGCGGTGCTTCTTCTGGCTTTGGAAAGCGGAGCAACGCCGAAGTCTTGGTCAGAGATCTGAACCTGGGCCTGACTCGCCTGAGCAACGCGCCACGTGGCAAGATCTCGAGCGTGGCAAAGCTCGTGCGTCGAACAGTGCGCGCGGTGGGACTGGTGACTGTGTTCATCGCTGGAATCGCGGTGTCGACAATTCACGGATCTCCGGATATGGTTAGGGTCCGAGCCTCGGCGGAGTTTCCATGGGCCGAGTCGTTCAACGAGCTTGAATCGGCAGTCTGGGCCGAGTTCGAACGGCGATCCGGGCGCAGCAATGATGAGAAACTGAAAGGGATGTTGGAAGAGTTGGATGACGTCGGAACACGTGTTAAGGATGCGTGTGGGGTCGTGGATGACCTGGCAGGAGTTGCGGAAGTGAACATGGAAGGAAGGGGCGGTTAGAGGAGGTCGTAAATGAGCTGGAGAAGGCAACGGCGTCGTTTTCTGATGGGTTGGATAGGTTGAGTAACGGAGTGAACGTGATGTTTGATGGTGTTTTGCGCAACAGAAACTATATGACGGAGAATGTTAGAGTTAGCGGAGTGGGAAAAAGCCATGAAATTGAAATCTTAAAGCAAGAATCAACCTCCAAAAGTAAAAGCACAAATTGCAAAAAGATTGGTAGAACGACATGTCGTTTTCCTTGTAAATTGTAATCGTTCTCTTGGCTTTACTTCTACTGATGAAGCAAGTTATAATCTAGTTCTAAGTTCTAACCTCTTAATACAAATGTCAATTACAATTTAAGCTATTTTAATCATGTCAAATGTGTAAAGTGAAGCTCATTTTCAAAAGTACAATGCCTTGTTAGTTCAATAACATAGTTGAACCTTTTTTTTTTCTTTTTGGATTTGTATTATGTTCGACCATAAGAAACAATTCACGATTCATCTAGTCTATTGTTTGATACACATGAGAAATTCTCATTAAAAACGTCTTGGAAAGTGGGGGATATGGTTGAATTCTCACTCATTTGATGCGATGATTAAGAAAGTTTCTTACATGAAGAGGTTTGGGTTTCCTTTTTTCTGTCGAAGTCAGCATTTTTAAGTTTTATCAAATGAAGGAGGTTGACCAAATTAGGGTTTAGGATGGTGTATGTGTATGGAGTTAGGTATCTTGAACAGTTTCACTTTATTTGCAACAACATAAGAAAAGACATGTTTGCATTTAGCTTTATTTCTATGAGATTTGGGATAGTTTAGAACTTTAGATTAGTCTTTTTTTGTCGATCAAAACATGCTACTGAAAGATTACTGAGATAAAGATGGGTTGTCAAGAATGTAGAGGAGGTAGGATGGGTAGTTGGTCAGATCTAATATGGATCGTACATGAATGATAGTTGAAGTCGGCAATTTTTCTAGGGTTCCCTCATCTACAATCCTTGGAGAAGATCAAGTTGGCCGTTGTGAACAGCTTGATGCACTATCTCCATTCAAACCTTTAAGCGCAATGCTAACTAATACATTCTATAATGACTGTATCGCCAATTATTTACAATGACCATCTTTCTCTTTTCAATATTGAAATATATCTTAAATTCGAATTCCCCATCCTGTTGATAAAAAACCAAATGTTCATAATGAAGTTTAGGGTGACTACAGTTTGATGTTATCATGTTAGGCGTGAGGAAAGATTGAGAGGGAGATGAGGTCTGCCCAACTTTCCTAATTCTCAAGTTCATGACTTGTGAGAGAGATGGGAGAAGTGCGAAAGCAAGTCTCCCACAAGCTACGCCTACTGTGCAATTCCAAATTCCGCACATTGAATGCGCACATGGTAAACGTGCATTGAGACAAAACATAAGATTAAATTGTCCGATGACGTTGTAAAAGTGCAAATCTCTCCCTCATCTCAGAAACATAAGATTGATTAGGGACAATCTTATGGCTTAAATAACTCCACTATTTTATTTAGGGTTTCGTACGTCCACTTTCTCCGCATTAACGCTTTTTTTTTTGTTTTGTTTAACTTTAATTGAACAAAATAAAAGATAATCAAAGAACTAAAATGAATGAGAACAACGCAAAAAAGGAAAACGAAAGTGAACATCACTCCCTTTTTAGTGAGAGAGAAGAGTGATGTAGAATAAAATATGGATCAATTCTAACGAAGAAAGATATACAAACAGATGTTTTTAAGTTCTTGAAAAGAGGAATTAAAATTAAAAAATATTGAATTCAATCGATATGACAACAGAAAAAAAGCTGAAATAAATATTCTAGTATCATAATTAGGTGTAAAATATGTCGTTTAAAAGAAAATCACGAGCAGGAACAAGACTCCAAAAATGACAGTTTCTCCAAAACAACATTTTGTAACAAAACCAAAACTAAGTCAAACAAGATCTAAGATCAGAAATAAGCAAGAGTGCATAAGAAGAAGAAAAAGTCGTTCTTTTCATTTACAAGCGCTCAACAGAAACTACTCTCGAATTCTAATACACGCTACTTCTCTTTCGGTTACATAAACAACATTCCAAAATAATCAGTTACATGTTACAACAAAGCTGTATTAAATTTTCTTCAACAAGACGGGGGCGGAGGAGCAACTTCTAGTTATACGCTTTCGAGGTTTTAGTGTTAACATCAAATTTAATGATTTCATGAGACTGCTTCTCTGAATGGGTTGTGAGGAACAATGCTCTCAATGGCAGGTGTGTTCTACATCTTCCGCAGGGAACGGTATTGCAAGCGAACATTCTCCCCAGTTGAAATAATCTTGAGCAAGTACCTGCAACAATACACCCCCCCACACACACACACACTCGCTCAATCAAACAAGCATGCTAACACCACGTATGTATAGGTATAACTTATAAACTTGTGGGTATTAAAGCAACGTAACAAAATAAGCACATTACGTGACAAAAGCGCAGAGGTTAGTCATGCCAACTCACCAGCCATTCAGACACTGGGATGTGATGACCGCTTCCTTGCCAACAAATTTTTCTGGAGTCCTCCTGTTCCCCTGCATAATTAAGTATTCACTTTACAAGTCCTACCTATTTGAACCAGAAGAACCATCATTGCCAGATAAGCAGTGAAACAAACTCACCTTAATTACCACTTTTTCATTCACAGAAAACGGGTACTGCACCCCACGAATCCCATCATCACCAATATCTCCATTTTCCTGCATAGCACAAAATATTATTCAGTAAAAATGCTTGAAACATGGATGTTGGTACACAATAATCTGTTGAACCTTTCCCATAAAGTTCCCGTGAACAAGATATTAAGGTAGTTATGTTCTGATGATGGCTTGCATGACTTCAATAGTGTAAATGGGCTAGGTAGCATTTTTATTACGCACCTTGTTTGGTCTTCTTGATGAATCCATTTGGTCAACCAATTCTTTCCGACGCTTTCGGACAGTCGCATTATGAAATAGCCTTCGATCATCCTCATGCTTCACCGCTGCAGCTGCAGCTCTAAGCGCTGTTGAGGAAATGATTTTTTGTCAATATACAAATAGAAACCACAAGGAACGTATTGCTCATAAAATGGGAATGTAGGTGCAGCTTGATGATCCACAGCTGAAAAATATAATGTGTGCATTCGTACGCTTTTAATTTTTCAGAAAGAACATGAAATAGAATGGAATAAGTATTTATTTAGGAAGCAATAAAAAGAAAAATGAATGTACCAAGATTAGGAACCAAAGACCCGGCCTCAATTTCTGCACAGCAGAGGGTGCATCTTGACTGTGACGGAAAAAATAAAAATTATGATTCTAGTCCCTTCCCATCTGGAGGTTATAAATAAACATGCGCAAATCCCTGAGCCCACTACAGAGCAATTATAGCAGCATTTCTAATATTTCTTCTAATACCAGGAGGATAGCCTACTTACTGTTTCAATGACTCTTCTCAACATGAGACCACCGAATGAATGCCCACAAGAAACTACCATAGCATCTTCGAGGAATGACCCACTGAAGCATTTATAGTACGAACAAAACATGTAAACATGATGAACAAGTGGAAGGACGAATTTCCAAAGAAAAGACTTCTTTCAGAAATATGAAAACAGTGAGACTCAATTTAAAAGTTTTCTACGCAGGTAAGGAATTAAGTACAGGGACAAATAACAACTTACGATACGGGATCTGAGAGAACACTTCTTAAAGATGGTTCCTTGTTTAAACTGTTTCGAGCTACCTGAAAATTCAAATTTCATAATACAAAAGCTGTCAGCCTGGGGCATGCATGGGTTTAAAGACTAACAATTGCCTTTTTGGTTAATCCTGTCAACAATTTTCTTGAAACACTCCATGTATGGCCTTGCTGTGCATCAGCTACTTGAAGATAAAACTTACATAAGTGTTATCTGAACGACTGCCCAATACATCTTCCTCAGCAGAAAGATCATCCATAAACTGGCTTACAGATATTGGGACATAGCTGTGGGGAATGACATGACCAGCTGCTGCAATTGGAGAACAATCTAATATAGCATTACCTTGCGGCATGAGCCTAAATGCAAACGATGCCCTACAAACACGAAACGCAATTATGTTAACTCCAAATGAATTTCCTATAAATTTGATTGAAATGGTGGAAAAATAAAGCACGGCATGAGAACAGCCAAGGCAACCAGATAACTTGTACCTCCCACCACTACTAATGCCAGAGGAGTAATCAGGTGCAGCTTTATACGGTGCAGCAGGGCGAAGGCCAGCAGTAGCATGGCTGAGTGCCTTACCTGTAAGCAGTAAAAGATCCCCAGGAGCTGACCCACCATCTGCTACGTACCAACGACCATTGGGGTCACATACCTAAACAAAAAATAGTTTTCACAAGTAATTTTCAGAAATCATGAAGCGAATGATCTTCTGTCAGAAGGGTTTAGAAAACAATTGAAACAAATGATAATAAGATGTAAAGCTCATATATGCAAATGATAGCCAAGTAAAAGAAGGGCACCTGTATACCAGGACTGTCTGAGGAAACCAATGTTAACAATCCCTTCTCAACTTCAGCATTCATTCCTGGCTTGCCTCCCCCAATAGCACCTTTTCCATTTTGCAAGGAAGCATTTGAGTAGGCTGCAACAAGAACTGATGAGGACACCTCATTTGCGGGCAATGGAGTATCGTCAAGTAAATGGTTGAAAACACTGCAAAGTACAGGTGTTACATAAGAGCAGATATACAAAATTGGTTAACAGGATATCTAAAAAAAAAGTTAAGTGTAAGAAACGATTAAAGAGACACCATCACCATCCTTACTCGCTTCGCAAACGAAGATGCCTAGCTATTGCACACAAAGCCACATGGGCCGCCTTGCCCATGCATCTAAAAATATCCGCCATGCATGGCGGGGATGAGTCCCAATCTTCCAAAGCCCTGCAACAAGTGAAGCTCTTTAGACTCCCAAATCAATTCTCTGAGGACAACCA